AGTCTTTGGCCTGGCTTTTCAGTTGATGGACTTTTGAAGCTCACAGCCCAGCCCTGTCAGGTGCCCTGTTGATTGCCTATTCAATTGGGTACTGCTAGTGGCAGCCCACTGCCCCACATCTATCACAGCCTAGTTGATCTGGCACTTGGCAGAGGTAGTGATTCAGTTTTTTTCTTGAAGACTTCTGCACTTGTTTTGGTATTCTGATATCTGCTGGTAGCAAGTTGAATAATTGTGAACTGCAGATGTTGACGCTGTTCTCCTAGTGTGTCTATGGTGCCCTTACTTTTCACTGGGTTTTTTGCATACCTTCCCATGTCTCTCTTCCAGTAAGTTTTGGTAATGTGTAGGTTTGAGACCAGAGAATCTGACCAGAGAATCTGACCAGAGAATCTGACCAGAGAATCTGACCAGAGAATCTGACCAGAGAATCTGTGACCAGAGAATCTGACCAGAGAATCTGACCAGAGAATCTGACCAGAGAATCTGACCAGAGAATCTGACCAGAGAATCTGACCAGAGAATCTGACCAGAGAATCTGACCAGAGAATCTGACCAGAGAATCTGACCAGAGAATTACTGACCAGAATCTGACAGAATCTGACCAGAGAATCTGACCAGAGAATCTGACCAGAGAATCTGACCAGTGAGAATCTGACCAGAGAATCTGACCAGAGAATCTGACCAGAGAATCTGACCAGAGAATCTGACCAGAGAATCTGACCAGAGAATCTGACCAGAGAATCTGACCAGAGAATCTGACGAAATGTGAAATTCACAAAAACTGAAAACGTATTCTCCATAAGATATAATGTAAATCCAATTAATCCATTACAGACACCCAAAAGTATAAACAAAAAATACATTTTATAGAGAATAACTATATTCCACAGCTTGTTTATCTATTGCAATTCATCTAATATGACATAATAAAAATATTAATAACATAGAAACATGATATATTCTCTAGAATGAATAAAATGTCTTTACGTGAGGAGTGGTGGTCCTGTTGTTGCTGTTGGGTTTGTAAGGGCCACTGAGAACATAAGCTGTACATATTAGTGGTAGTGGATACGACAGCAGAAGCCACCAACACCCTTCACACAAACAATGTACGTAATTTATAAATAAGAAAGATTTACACTTAATGTACCTTGGAGATGCTGGCATTGGTTTAGGGTAGTGGAAGATAGGCAGGGTGGCGTATGTTTGTCAGTGGCCCTATATACCTCCAATACCATTGGAGTTAGTTTTTTTTTTTTTCATCGTTTTTATGTCGCTTAATTTGCTTAACTTACTTGCTACACTGTTAATGCTACACTTTATTGCTGGCTGGTGCTATAGCTTTTATTGATTCCTGCTGCTTTAGTATCGTACATATCATAGAATCGGTGAATCACTGAAGAAGGCACATTCCTCTCTCTTCCTCCTCCACTTCAGTACTTTGCTATGAATTTTTTCTTGAATTCTATCTTTATCAACCGGCTTGCACTAGCAGCTTTCTTTGGGCTCATGGTGGCTTATTTAGCAGTCACACAGAAAAAACAAATGCAGTAAACAATGAATTATTACGAAATATTTCCTATGACCTCGCAGGATAATGCTCACTCACTGAGAAACAAAGCAACACTGCCTCAGAATGCTTGTGTGGGAGACTGTGTGCACGACACTCGGACAGGTACCATGCCACCAACAAGAACGGAGGGAAGTAACAAAAACTGAGCCAGAATTTTTTTGGAAAAAAAGTCGGCAATAACTGAAATTCATGAAAACAGAGCCCAACAAAAAGGGAAAGCCCACTGTACCTTCCCAGAATATATTATACAATGGACCCTCGGGTAACGACTTTAATCTGTTCCAGAGAGCTTGTCCTTAACCAATTTTTTCGTTATCCAATTTAATTTTCCCCATAAGGAATAATGAAAATCCAATTAATCCATTTCAGACACCCAAAAGTATTAAAAAAAAATTATTTTTTTCTCATCAAATATACATTTTCCTACACAGAAAACAATGAGACATGAATAAATACATGAAGAATAAATACATGAAGAATAAATACATGAAGAATAAATACATGAAGAATAAATACATGAAGAATAAATACATGAAGAATAAATACATGAAGAATAAGTACATGAAGAATAAATACATGAAGAATAAGTACATGAAGAATAAGTACATGAAGAATAAGTACATGAAGAATAAGTACATGAAGAATAAGTACATGAAGAATAAGTACATGAAGAATAAGTACATGAAGAATAAGTACATGAAGAATAAGTACATGAAGAATAAGTACATGAAGAATAAGTACATGAAGAATAAGTACATGAAGAATAAGTACATGAAGAATAAGTACATGAAGAATAAGTACATGAAGAATAAGTACATGAAGAATAAGTACATGAAGAATAAGTACATGAAGAATAAGTACATGAAGAATAAGTACATGAAGAATAAGTACATGAAGAATAAGTACATGAAGAATAAGTACATGAAGAATAAGTACATGAAGAATAAGTACATGAAGAATAAGTACATGAAGAATAAGTACATGAAGAATATAGTACATGAAGAATAAGTACATGAAGAATAAGTACATGAAGAATAAGTACATGAAGAATAAGTACATGAAGAATAAGTACATGAAGAATAAGTACATGAAGAATAAGTACATGAAGAATAAGTACATGAAGAATAGTACATGAAGAATAAGTACATGAAGAATAAGTACATGAAGAATAAGTACATGAAGAATAAGTACATGAAGAATAAGTACATGAAGAATAAGTACATGAAGAATAAGTACATGAAGAATAAGTACATGAAGAATAAGTACATGAATAAATGACACTTGCCTATATTGAAGATTTAATGATGAGTGATGAGATGGGAGGAGGGGAGAGGATAGAGGTGTATTATTGTTTGGAAGGGGAACCCCCTTCCATAAGGACTTTAGGTAGTAAGTCCTTTTCCTCCTGAGTAATGTAGGTCCTGTTTGGCATTTTATTCCAGAACAGGCCTGTTTCGTCACAAATGAACACTTGTTGGGGTTTCAATTTTTCAGCTTATATGTACCCCTTAACCCTTTCAGGGCTGGTGCCGTACTTGTACGGCTTGCACGCCAGGGTTGGTGCCGTACTTGTGTGCATAAATTCTAGTGCCTTCAAATCTAGCGAGAGAAAGCTGGTAGGCCTACATATGAAAGAATGGATCTGTGTGGTCAGTGTGCACAGTATAAAAAAAATCCTGCAGCACACAGTGCATAATGAGAAAAAAAACTCCGACCGTGTTTTTGCTTTAAAACGACAACTTCGCAATGTATTTTTGTATGCTATTTATGGTTGTATTCTAGTTTTCCTGGTCTCATTTTATAGAATGGAAGACATGTTACAGAAATGGAGATGATTTTGATTGGTTACACAATAAAAAGTACAGGTCCGCCATCACAAATCCGGCTATCAGTTATTCGGTTCCTTCAGTTATTCGGCATTATTTTGGTGAGCATAATTTCCAGGGTCGAAACACCAACCTGCTGGTACTGTTTGGTGGCGCTACTTGCTGCATAAGTCATTCCAATTTCTTTTTCTCCATTTATTGTTTTAACCTATTTACTTTTAGCCCTAGCCATGGTTCCAATGAATAAAAGAAATGCTTCTCATTATGTAAAGTACCTACACAGTACATTATCCATTAAAGATAAGGTGGCTTTGAAGCCACTGTCGGTTGCCATGAGCTCAGTCTTGTGAAGCAGGAGAATATGCTTTATTATTGCGCTAATATCAACACTGTAGCTTATTTGCCTATCACAGTTTATCTAATATGACATAAGAAA